GCGAACTAGATGAGGAAATCTATGTGGAACAACCCGAAGGGTTCGTGGTTCCGGGCCAAGAAAGGAAAGTGTGTAAGTTGGTTAAATCGCTATATGGTTTAAAACAAGCGCCTAAGCAATGGCACGAGAAGTTTGACCATGCGATGTTAACTAATGGGTTTAAAATAAACGAAAGTGACAAATGTGTCTACGTTAAGGAAACGAGAGACGGTTATGTCATTCTTTGTTTATACGTAGATGACATGCTCATCGTTGGTAGTAACGATCGAATGATCAAGTCTACCAAAAACATGTTAAATACGAGATTTGACATGAAGGATATGGGTTTGGCTGATCTAATCCTCGGGATTAGAATCATTAGAAGACCTGATGGTCTGGTGTTAAGCCAATCACATTATATTGATAAAATCGTTGAAAAATTTAACAAGGATAATCATCAAGGGACTAGGACGCCATTAGATCGAAGCGTTCATCTAACCAAGAACCACGGAGAGTGTATTTCTCAAGTAGAATATGCTCAGGTTATTGATAGTTTGATGTATCTAATGAGCTGTACTAGGCCGGATATTGCCTTTGCGGTTAGTAAACTCAGTAGATATACGAGTAACCCCGGTGCCATACACTGGACGGCAATAGTGAAGGTTCTGAGATACTTAAGGTATACTCGAGACCTTGGACTGCACTATGGGAGATATCCTGCTGTACTTGAATGGTATAGCGACGCTAGCTGGATATCCGATATTAAGGACTCCAAGTCCACGAGTGGCTGCGTGTTTACACTAGCCGGTGCAGCCGTTGCATGGAAATCCTCTAAACAGACCGTGATAGCTAGATCCACGATGGAATCTGAGCTGATAGCCTTGGACAAATGTTGTGAAGAGGCTGAATGGCTACGCCATTTTTTAGAGGATATTCCTAATTGGGAAAGACCTGTACCTCCAATGTGTGTGCATTGCGATAGTCAAGCTGCAATTGGACGAGTACAGAATCATATGTATAATGGTAAGTCTAGACATGTGCGTCGTAGACATAATGCCATTAGACAACTTCTCACAACTGGTGTTGTCTCGATTGACTACGTAAAGTCAGAAGACAATATAGCGGATCCGCTAACCAAAGGGTTATGTAGAGTAGCTGTGGAGAAGTTGAGATGAGGAATGGGTCTAAAGCCCTTGGTATAAAGTTCTATAGTGGACACCCAACCTAGCTGGCATCTAGGTTCAATGGGACAACTAAATTATGGAACGGAGCGTGTCACTGTGGGGGTCTCGGATTCCCTACCACTCCTCGTTAGAAACAGTGGCTCCCGCACAAGGTTAACATGTTAAATGCTTTAGTGATTCGAATGTCGGTTGACATATGTGAGTATGCGGGATACTCGGGAAAGAATCACCTATGTGAGAGAGAAGTGAGGGTCGCTTCAAAGGAGAATTGACGGGCACAATTCTTCACAAACTCTTGCAGAACCAGGAATGGTGACCCACGACCAAAATGGGCACAATCATGAGAACAAAGCATGGTTGGGAGGTTCCTGTGTGAGATATGTCATCGTCTACACAAACGGCAGTCGGTTCAAAGACATCGCGTTCTACCGTACAGTCAGTAGAGTAAATGTATCTTCACGAGGGAAGGTTCAAAGGGTGTGACCCTACCTATCCTATGCAGGGATCAACCGTTGAACACAGTTGTTTCCATTTTAAAACTACCCCCGAAAATCAATTTTCATTCATGTGGGGGATTGTTGGAAAAATTAGCTTAAAATGGCATAAAATGACATATTAAGTGGCTATTTTGTGGTACAATTATCAGTGGGGTCCACTTCCGATTTGGGTCAGGTCAAAGTGGATTCGGATTCTTCGTAGTAAGACGAAGAGATTGATATATTGTACGCTCAAAACGGATAATGGGTGAATGAGATATTGATTCTCAAAGTAGACCCATTTAAGTTGGGAAATGAAGGGAAAATGTAGGACTTTGTCCCACATTGGTTTGGAAACAAGATTTGCCCCCCTTATATACATGAGCTCTTTTCAAGCTTTTAGAATTGTATAGCATAGAGGCTCTCTCGCGCGGGGGGGGGGGGGGGGGGGGTGCAAATCAAAATCCAACTAGAGGACATCTAAAAGGCTCGTGCGCCGGCACCTGCGGGCACGAATGTCGTCCGGAAATGGGCTGGCCTTGCGGGCTACGTTATGCCTAACTTCGGTATCATTTTCCATCTGGTATAGTCACTTGGTTCGGCCAGAACCGAACCGAGAGCACCTACTCTCGTGTGTAGCACGAGAGGTTGTGGTGCACCGAGAGCACAACTCTCGTGCATCTGTGACCACGAGAGTAGTGCACACGAGAGATGTACTCTCGTGTTGCCTGGTCCATGTGCTCTCGTGTGAACCTGCACCCCAACGGTCTGAAACCCGAAAGTTCAGCCTGTTGTACAGATTAAACTCATCTGTTACGGAATTAATACTGTTTTAATTCCAATTTTAAATTCTGAGTTTAATCCTACTTAGTGGTGACCGTTACAGGTGTTACACAATTGGTTTTAACACCAATTTAATGGCCATGTTGAATGCTATCACTCCAACATCCCTATATAAAGAGAGGTAGAAGCAGTAGCATTTTACACAGTAAAAAAAAACGAAAGGAATTCCAGTAGCTTTCAGCTTCCCAAAACTCTGCTTCTACTCTCTTCTTTACCAACTAGTGTTCTCTACTTTGCTTTGTTTGCCGGGTTCCTTGTTTAGGTGCTTAAACAAGGAATCGTAGCACGTTTTATCCTGGGAAACCTAGGCTACAACGCTCCTAGCACTTGTGGGAGGTAGCAAATAAGGTTTTAAGGAAAAGAACTTCGTGTTCGAACTCGTGCTAAACCTTTACCCAAACACTCAATCTTTTCCTTCCCAATTTTCTGTTTTCCCATATAATATTAATCTTTCCGTAGGATTATTATTATTTTGGGATTTTCCACCTTATTACCCAACAAACATCCCCAACAATTTCTTCTCTCAAGGCTTGTGCATTGAGCAATTGTTCACTTTGAACGGGTTGATGTGGAATCGGCAATGGGTGTGCAAAATCATCTCTTGGTGTGGTGATCATTGTGTCAACAAGGTTGGGTTCGGCTTCCTCGGTGTTGTAGCAAAGAAGCAATGTGTTTCGGTTCCTTGGATGGTGTTGATCATAAAACTCATAGCAAGGTGGCAAAGTAGGCAAATTCCTTGTCTCATCCAAATTTAAAGAAACCCCTTGACTTGGTGCATTTCCTTCTTCACGAATAGACTCCGTAACCTCCATTACGGGATGTGGAAAACAAGACTCAAAACTCAAATTTTCATCCCCGATACTTGCAGGATACGGATCAATCTCCGGGAGCCCTACATCATCATTCCTTGCCAAGGATCCCTCTCCGGGTCCTCTTCGGGTATCCTCCAAAGACATAGCGGTGGCACGGTGAATATCGTTTGGATCAAACTCTCCTAAAGGTTCTTCGGTTGTGGCTTCAACCATCACTCCCTTTTCGGTTCTCTTCTTCTTAGCAAGCATGGTCAAGAAGCAAGAATTAATCACCGAAAGCCGGGTAGCTTTGGCAAGATCACGTGTGCCCAACCAATTCAACACCATTTCTTCCCTTTCCAAGGTATTCGGCCCTATTGATTCGGCCAACATGTTGTGGTCTCCTAATCTCCATGCTCTCCATTCAAGTGCTCTTTTAAACTCCTCCAAAAGTGCACTGTCCGCCCCAATTGATGATATTTCATCATCACTTCCAACTTCTACTTGATCATTCACAATAACATCCACTTCAACTCTATTTTCCTCAACAAACCCGTGGCTCTCAAGGATAATTGGGTTCGGGTTTTGAGTGGTTAAGGGTCTTGAGATTGGGTGGCTTGATTGTTCTTCGTTGGATCGAATGGCATGGGTGTTTGATCCTTCATGGCTTGGTTCTCGGATATATTGTTTAAGGTTTTGGAAGGGGTTGGACAATTTTCTTTTTCGGGTGGGTTTTGGTAGGCTTGTGGGTAAGGTAGGATTTTTAGGTTCATTGGAGTTGGGTGGCCGAAAGAGGTAGCTATGGTTTGTAATATGCTTGGCTTTGGTAAGGGTGACATTTTTGGTTCTCAAAATCTCACCAACGGCAAACCCGTAACCGATCTCCTGTTGAAACCATCCATCCACCAAAGGCTTGGCCTTCCTTATAGACTCACACAACCTTCCAAACATAAAGGCACCCCAATCCACACAAACATTGTTCAAAATAATGTCCATAATCAACAATTTTTCTTTTGACAACTTGTCACGGCAATGATACCGGGATTCTACACATTTATGAACAATATCCAACAACAATCCATAATCCCTCTTCAAATATCTTTTGTTACCATTAACCTTCGGAGATAGCGGTGCGTTTGCATCGCGTACCTCGGCCCAAATGGCATTGACATCATGCACATGATTTTCTACCCTCAAACTTGATTCAACAAGATTAAACATCCTCCGAAAATCATCGAGATTAATTTCTACATCAACACCTTTGATCATAGAAATAATTGAGCCATTTTCTATTCTAGCATTCATGTATAATTCGGTCACCTCATCTTTATAGAAACCAACATATCTAAAAGTGCAAAAATTTAACAACCCACAAGATTCGAGAGAGTTAATAATTTTTACCCCAATAGATTTGTCCTCCACTTGTTTGTTGAAGTCGGTGACATCTAGAATCATCCCGCTTAGTACACGGTTAGATTTCCTTGTTCCTCCGGTTGTGAATGACTCCATCTCCACTTGATTAATCTCCATTTGAGTAGAAAAAGAATTTAGAAATTTTTGGGTGCAAGATTGGGTGTTTCGGCAGTGAGGTCCGAAAGAAGGATAGGAGGAATGAGTTTTTGGATTGTGAGGTTATTTGGGTAGGATTTTGGGTTTGGGTGATGGGTTTTTTTTTTTTTTTTTTTTTTTTTTTTTGTGTAGAAGATTTTTGTGTAGAGAAATTAGAGTGGGTGTTTGAGTGTTGGGAGATTCTTGGCTTTTTCTTGTGCTATGTTTCCGGCCGGCGAGAGAAAGAAGAAGAAGATTTTGTGTTCTTCTTTAATTCCACTTTCTACCCGTTAGGATTGAGGAAGAAGGGTGAGAAATTACTCTTTTGCCCTCTAGTGGGTAGAGAGAGAGTATTGATCTCTTTGAGGATAAATTCGACCTTCCACATGATTTAAATTTGCCAGCTCAGATTTATATACTCCATTTGTGAGTACATGGCGCCAAAAATTGTGCTTCAAATAACCGCCAACCTAGAGCAAATCAGATAAAAAAATCTTGAAAATAATCTGTTAGACCAATAAATATACTCCAGATAAATATTATTATTTCAATTTCATATTTCAATAAAGCTGATTTTCTGAAAAGAAACCTGATAAAAATAAATTGATCAGACAGATACCTAATATCTGAAAAGAAATTGCAAGTTCCCAAATTATTTAAAACATTTGACTTTTGCAAAATTTTGCCTAACTTTTTGACTTTTGATTTTCCAAATTGGGCAAGCATTCATCAGAAAAACACTTTTCTTCTCATATAAACCCAATAGGCATGCAAATATCTAAATTTTCCTTAAATATATACAATTTCATCAAAACTAACCCAATTGAAAAAAATTGTTCCCCCTAAATTACATACTAATCTCAAATTAATCTAATTAAACACATTTAGCAAACAAATTACACAAATCAATTATGCTAAAACGTGACAAATTAAATAAACATACGCATCACATAAATAAATCGCAAATTTAGGTACGCAGTTTTCGTAAGATAAAATTATAACACATTTAGGTACATACAAATTTTACGAAAACATGTACACAATTAAACATATATCATAGGTACATACCAATTCAAATTAAAACACATAGGTCACATAGATTACATGCAATACACACAGTACGTATAAAAAATTAACAACAATTAAGAGTTTAGAAATTGCTTAGCTCATTTTGGTCATTCCCATTTCATGCCTTAGAGTTGCAAAACGAGATTCACACAACGACTTTGTGAGAATGTCGGCAATTTGATTCTCCGTGGGAACATGATCGATTTTTAAATCTTTCTTTTCGACGTGGTCTCGGATAAAATGGTGTCGAACGTCGATATGCTTGGTTCGCGAATGAAGCACCGGATTTTGGGTTATGGCGATTGCACTAGTATTATCGCATAAAATGCTAACATTTTCGCACTTAATCCCATAGTCCAATAATTGTTGCTTCACCCACAAGATTTGTGCACAACAACTCCCAGCTGCAATATATTCGGCTTCCGAAGTGCTCGTAGCTATGGAGTTTTGCTTTTTGCTGAACCAAGAGACCAATCTTCCCCCTAAGAACTGTCATGTCCCTGAGGTACTTTTTCGGTCTATTTTACAACCTGCAAAATCTGCATCTGAATAACCAGTTAGTGTAAAATCTCCTTCTTTGAGATACCATAATCCCACATTGATTGTTCCTTTGAGATATCGAATTATCTTCTTGGTTGCAATCAGATGACTTTCTTTGGGCTTTGATTGGAATCTTGCACATACGCCAACCGAGTAGGATATGTCCGGTCTGCTTGCGGTTAAGTATAGTAACGATCCAATCATCCCTCGATACATCGTTTGATCGACATCTTTTCCTTCATCATCTTTATCCAATTTTTGAGATGTACTCATGGGAATTTTTACTGAGGATTTTCCATCTATGCCAAATTTCTTGATAAGATCTCTTGTGTACTTGGCTTGATTTATGAAAATTCCTTCCTCAAGTTGCTTGACTTGCAGTCCCAAAAAGTAATTTAATTCTCCCATCATACTCATCTCGAACCTGTTCTGCATGAGCTTAGAAAATTTCTCACATAAAGTTTTATCAGTACTTCCAAAGATAATATCATCAACATAAATTTGTACTAATAAAATGTGATTATTTTCTTGAATTCTAAAAAGGGTTTTAGGACTAGACCTTTGGTGAATCCACAACTAATTAAGAACATCGACAAGGTGTTGTACCAAGCTCGCGGAGCTTGTTTTAACCCATACAATACCTTCTTTAATTTGTAGACTTGATCACCAACGTCTTTTACCTCAAAACCGGGTGGTTGTTCGACGTAAACTTCTTCTTCAAGTAATCCATTAAGAAATGCGCTCTTTACGTCCATTTGATATACCACGAAATTCTTGTGCGCTGCGTATGCTAGGAATATCCGGATTGCTTCGAGTCGTGCGACGGGGGCGAATGTCTCATCAAAATCAATTCCTTCTTCTTGTGAATACCCCTTTGCGACTAATCTTGCTTTATTCCTAACAATGACGCCGTCTTCGTTTGCTTTGTTCCTAAAGACCCATTTAGTGCCAATTACATTTTGGTGCGTTGGTCTTGGAACAAGTTTCCATACGTCATTGCGCTTGAATTGATCTTATTCCTCTTGCATGGCATCTATCCAACTTGGATCGGCTAAAGCTTCATCAATTTCCTTTGGTTCCAGTTGAGATAGAAAGCATGAGAGCATTGCATCTTGTTGTTGATTCCTAGTAGATGATCGCGTCTTTACTCCATCACTTGGATTTCCAATGACTAAGTCATGGGTGTGACTTCTTAGCCATTTCCGATTTGGTTGGAAATTTGTTGGATTTTCAGAGTTTCCTTCTTGATGTGATTCCACTTGTTGTGTATTATTGACAGATGCTTCTTCGGTTTCAACTACTGGAATTTCTTCTTGTTGAATTTTAGTTGGAGGCATGCGTGACATTTCGGGTATCTCATTTGATATTGCCTCAAATTGGTGAGTACCCATATCACTTGATTCTTCTACTTCCTACAACACATTATCTTTGAAATTGTCATTAGAAGTAATTAAATCACGATTACCTTCATCATTTTTGCCATTATTGCCGTGATTTTCATCAAACACAGCATGAATTGATTCTTCTACCACCATGGTTGATTTGTTGAAAATTCTATACGCCTTGCTGGTGGATGAATATCCTAAGAATATTCCTTCGTCCGCTCGCTCGTCAAAAGTCTTTAATTGAGACTTTCCGTTAACAAGTACAAAACATTTACAACCAAATGTATGAAAATAGGTGAGATTGGGTTTTCTCACTTTCCATAATTCATAAGGTGTTTTGTTATAAGACTTGTGGATTAGACTGCGATTTTGAGTATAGCACGCCGTGTTAATTACTTCTGCCCAAAATCTTTTTGGTAGACCGACGGCCGTTATCATGACTCGTGCGGCTTCCTTGAGTGTTCGATTTCTTCTTTCAGCTACACCATTTTGTTGCGGCGTTCGTGCGGCAGATAATTGATGTAAGATTCCTTGTGAATTGCAATAGGATTGAATTACTCTGTTCACGAACTCTGTTCCTCGATCGATTCGTATTGTTGCAATCTTCATGTCCTTTTCGACTTGCAGTAGCTTCAATAGCTCTGGCAACTTTGATAAGACTTCATCCTTTTTCTTGATGAATATTGTCCATGTGTACCTGGAAAAATCATCAACAACAACCAAAGTATATTTCTTACCACTTATACTTACTGGGTCTACTGGACCAAACAAATCCATGTGCAGTAGACTTAAGGGTCTTGATGTTGACTCTTGAGCTTTGGCTTTGAATGATGCTTTGATTTGTTTTCCTTTCTGGCATGCATCACAAATTTGATTTTTCTTGAACACAATGTTGGGTAGTCCTTCGACTAGATTATTTCTTGCAAGCTTGTTGATGGTTTTGAAATTCAAATGATTTAGCCTTCTGTGCCATTCCCAACAAGCTTCATTCGAATTATTTACCATCAAGCATACGGATTTCTTCGTTGTATTCCAATCCACAACATACATGTTTTTCTTTCTTGATCCGGCGAGTACGACTTCATTCGTAGATTCGTCCTTGACTTGACATTTGCCTTTGTAAAATTCTACGAGATATCCTTTGTCGCAAAATTGACTTGTACTAAACAAGTTAAATTTTAATCCTTCGACATAAGATACGTCATCAATTCGTAGACCATTTTTCACAATTGCGCAGGTTCCTTTTGTCATTCCATATCGATCGTTTCCACCGAAAACTACTTTTGGTCCTTCGATACTTTTGAACTCAACTAGACTAGCTTTATTGCCGGTCATATGTCGAGAGCAACCGCTATCGAAATACCAAATTTCCTGCAAGAAAGATTAATTATTTTTAGGTACCCATGCTTGATTGGGTCCTTTTGTGTTAGTAATTTTTGGCATCCAAATCCACCTAGATCCCACTGATCCAAGAGTAGGTGATTTGTAACCATTAAAGACTCTATAATCATAACGCACTTGCGAATAATGCTTTGGTGCGGGTTGGGAAGCAGATAGTTGCTTGATTCTATGAAACAGAGCAAATCTGGACTTGGTCCATGGTTTGTCATCAAGCGACCAATCTTGTTCTGAGGGATATAATCTCCCAGCCCCAATTCTCGGAATTCTTTCCATATTCCTATGAGGTTTTGTTGCACTAGACTCGTTGGTTCTCTTTGGAGATACAAATTTTTGCCTTTTAAAATTTTATTGCCTATCCGAGATATTAAATTTTTTATTCGGCCTTGCAACATTTTTATGGGATTTATTTGTTTACCAACTCCTTGTCTCATTGTGCTATACTGACTTTTGACAAATTTTACCACTGGGACTTTATTAATTAAAGTAGTAGTAGAATTAGTCAGTTTCACAGGGGTTTGAGAACATGATGGATCGTAGCCTAGTCCGGCTTTATCTCCAGCGGGTTTCTGCATGCTTACCATTTTATCCATGATTTTGGATGAATTTGTAAATGATGCGATTACTTCCCGAAGGTTATGTTCGCGAACCTCTCTAGCTTTGCACTCTTCTTGAAGTCGAACATTTTTGGCTTTCAAATTACTCATTTCATTTTGAGCATTTTGCAATTTTTGTGACATTTCTTCCTTTTCAAGAATTAACGTATTATTGCGCTCTTTGATTTGAGTATGAGTGGCCATGACCTTTTGACAATCTTCCATAAGACTTTGAAATGATTCTTGAGTCTGGAAAGAAGTGTCAACGGAACTAAAAGAGCTAAAAGAGCTAGAAGATACCTCTTCGTCAGTTTCACGCGCCATATAACATTCTTCATGTTCGGATGTCTTGCCCACTAGGCATAGTAGCGCCGTATCTTCTTGTGATAATTTTTTTAAATTTCTTCTCTTTGGATTTGTATTCCACCTGTGGAGAAGTATTCGAATTTTTTTCCGCCTTGGGGTGTGGACATTCGGCCATAAAATATCCAGGCTTTCTACAATTGTAACACACGTTTGTGTTATCTTCGACCGGTTCCCTTCTTGATCTTCTATTTTCTCGAAAGAAATTTCCTTGTGGTGATCCTTTGTTCTTTCGCATGAACTTCTTGAATTTCCTAACAAATAGAGAAAATTGTTCGTCAGATAAAAAATCATTATTTCCTACTGACCTTGATGTTGAGGGTTGTTCGGCCATCAATGCGGATGTTCGTTCATCACGTTCTTCCTCGACTCGTGTCTTCATTTCGAACTCATACGCCTTAAGATCACTAAAGAGTTTATCCATAGATAATGTCATTAGATCTCTATGATCGCGCATTGCGGTCACCTTCATATCCCAATTTGTAGGAAGTTCGCGTAACACTTTGAGCGATATTTCTTTCTGGGTAATGGTCTTTCCCAGATCCGTGATCTCTCCAATAATTTTGATTAATCGAGCTTCCATGTCGGTGATGTTTTCGTTCGGTAGCATTTTGAAATCTTCGAACCTCTTCATGGCAATGGTTAGTTTGTTGTCTTTTTCTTGTTCATCGCCTTCACCGATTCCGATTAGTGTATCCCATATTTCTTTTGCTGTGGTGCACTTTCGAATCTTTGGGAATATGGTGTCATCGACCGCTTTGAACAAAATATCTTTGGCAATGTTGTCCAAATTATTTCGCCCTCTATCTTCTTTTGTCCACTCCATTTTTGGCTTTGGTATATATCGTGGAGCATTTGGAGTTAGTGCGGCAGCAGTGTTAACTTCCATAATTTGGATATGACCATTTGCGATGACTTCCCAAATTTCGTCATTTAAGGCAGATAAGTGCACCTGCATACGTATTTTCCAATCATCAAATTTATCAAGTGAGAAAAGCAAATTTTGAGCAAGAGCCATATCTCTCTTCATCTTGAAGATTTTGAGATCTATCTAGCAGTCAAAATTGACTCAAATAGACAACCGCACTGATACCACTTGTTGGTCCCGAAAGGGTGGCGAGAAGTCTAGAGGGGGGAGGTGAATAGACTTCTCTAACTTTTTCAACTTTCTTCGAAAACACACAAGGCAAATAACACTTTGGTAATTTCAACTCTAAGTAACAAGCATTAACAAGATAAACAACTTAGAGTGTGCAGCGGAATAGGTAGCGGTAAAGTGTTATGCTTATAAGTGCGGTGCTCAAAGAGATATTCTAAACATGCAACACGTTAGAAACACTTGATATGGTTCAAAGATGATGTACGTAAAGTTTGGCTTGCATGCAAACGTGGGAACTATCAAACCCAGACAGATAAAGATATGCGATAAATCGTAATCGGGTTAGTTCGCAGTTAGAATAAGCATGCATGAAATGTATGAGCAGTAAGTAAATAGAGAGAGAGGTTTATAGTGGTTCAGAGGTGGTGTAATCCTCCTAGTCCACTCTTCTCCTTTCATTTCAAGGAGGAAATTCACTATTCTTCGATCACCCAGATACAATAGTGAATAAGTGTCCACCGACACTTCTCCGAGTGCTTCGCACAAAGCTACACTCCTCCAAGGTTTTTCGCAAGCTCCTCTTGTTACTCCGCCTTCCCGAGTACTTCGCACCAAGCTGTACTCCTACACCATGAGAACTACGCACAAAGCTACGTCCTCCAAGGGTTTTCACAAGCTCCTCTTGTTACTCTGCCCTTCACCACGAGTGCTACGCACAAAGCTACACTCAACCAGGGTTTTTCACTCCCTCTAGTTACTCCGCCCTCTTTCTACACTCAGTAGAGAATATTACAAAGAAATAAAATTTCTCTCTCACTCAGACTTGAATTTTATTCTATTAAGCTCTGTTTTCCCCCTTTTCGGCTAATAAAAATAGCTGAGTAAAAGACATTTTTGGTCCTAGACTTATAGTGGTTTAGACAATTTTAGTCCTTAATAAAAAAATTTGCCATTTTTTGGACAGACTTATTGTGACGAGGACAATTTTGGTCCTCCGTCTATTATATGGTTAGTTGACCGTTTAAATGAGGGGTATTTCTGTCAATTCAGTTTATTCTCCTTCAGATGAGATGAAAATATCATCTCTATCAAATTCTAAATACCACAGGTAGTCAGGCAGTAAGTTATCCCAGAGAAACATAAAATAAACTAAGCATTCATATGATTGTATGAATTTGCATTCTTGCATATTTGCATATTTGCATTCTTCCTCTAAATAAAATCTTCATCAATGCCTTTTGAAAAAGGTGGACTAAACTTACAAGATCTGTTCCAATGCTGGCTATCCATTGATACAGTTCTGTCCATGAATCTCCCATTCCCAGCTGAAAGCATATCCGTAGCTGCTTCAGAAACCTTGCTCCATTGGTCAGAGTGGATTTTCAGCCTCCTTAACTCTGCTTCCAGTTCAGCATTCATTGCCTGTGATACATATAACTGCTCGGCCACTTTCGCTACCTGCCTGTTACTCTTCTCAACTTCTTCTTTCATGTACCCAAGCTTCATGAGAGCTTCTTGCCCTGCCGCCTTGGCTCTCTCTAGTTCAGCATCAACTTCATGGTTCACATTCCCCTTGTTGGGTTCTCTTGCCCTGACTTCCAACATCAGCATCTTGTTTTCTTCTATGATTTTCTGTAGTTCTGTTTCCTTGTGCATCAAATTTACCTTCAAATTTTCAATATCAACTTTTGAGTTTTGAAGTTCCTGTTCTAGTGCATATTTTCTTTGTCCTGGCGACATATTTTCTAGTCTTAGAGTCTCATTGTAATCACAGATACCTTGCAATTCAGTTTCTTTATCCATCAGATTTGCTTTCAACCCCTCAATATTTTCTTCTCGGAGAATAAGCTAAATTGACACAAATACCCTTCATTTAAACGGTCAACTAACCATATAATAGACGGAGGACCAAAATTGTCCTCGTCACAATAAGTCTGTCCAGAAAATGGCAAATTTTTTTTATTAAGGACTAAAATTGTCCAAGCCACTATAAGTCTAGGACCAAAAATGTCTTTTACTCTTGTATATTTTGCTTGTATGTCTTAGCCGTTGTTCAAGTTGTTGAACTGCTCTATCACTTGGGGTTTTTCTTGCTGAACTGCTACATCACTTGTCTTCAAGTCTGCTTGGACAATTTATAGCTAGTGAAAGCTATTTGCCCGTTGATCATCTTTCGATCTCGATCGTCCATTTTGAATTGTAGTTGATCAAAAGATATTGTCAACTTGATCTGAAATATTAGGTAGATGTCTTTTCTCCTTTTGTCAGATGATTTAAATAATTTGCCCGTTGCCGTGTCTTGAATTTTGTAGCCTCCAAAATTTGAATTAGTTCGGCGCGGCAAGCTTGATATTTCTTGTCCTTCATAAATGCTCTGACATGTCAAGTTGATCAAATAATTTATCTACTGATTCTTGCTTGAGTATAAAATAATTTCTCCGCGAATCAGCCTTCTTCGAGCGTCTCTGGTTCCACCGTAAAAACTTGATGTTCAGATGAAAATATATCAGATATTTTCTCCTTCATGATCCTTTGTAAAATAATAAGCTGGAACCTCTGTAAAAACTTCATAGTTGTTCATGGTGAGATGCTCTGTTTCGAATTTAAGCTTGGTCCACCATACTTGGTGTGTTTCTCCATATGGTGCATGGCTTTTGTGAGACTTGTGCATTTTACTTAGTCTCCATTTTCTTAGCTAGTCTCCCATACGGTTTGGTATACTTTGAGCTAGTCTCCCATACGGTTTGGTATACTTTGAGCTAGTCTCCCATACGGTATACGGTCCAATATACTTGACCTTGAGCTAGTCTCCCATACTGTCCAAGCTAGTCTCCCATACGGTGTTGGCTAGTCTCCCATACGGTCCAAGCTAGTCTCTCATACGGTGTTGGCTAGTCTCTCCCATACGGTTTGGTATACTTTGAGCTAGTCTCCCATACGGTTTGGTATACTTTGAGCTAGTCTCCCATACGGTATACGGTCCAATATACTTGACCTTGAGCTAGTCTCCCATACTGTCCAAGCTAGTCTCTCATACGGTGTTGGCTAGTCTCCCATACGGTCTAAGCTAGTCTCTCATACGGTGTTGGCTAGTCTCCCATACGGTCCAAGCTAGTCTCCCAAGCAACTTAAAAATGCTTCACTTGAGATTCAAACTTAGGATCATTTAGCATAGCTCACACGCGTTTCTTCTAACTTCTCTAGCATGGTTCTTGGTGACTTATCCGCAACATAATTGTGTTAAGCTATAATGCCGCTTAACTTCTTAAAACAAATTATGATCTTCCAAACTTGTACGTGGGTTGCATGATATAGGTGCACCATACTCCGTAGACTCTAACTGACTTAAATAGAACAAAAAATGGGGACTACTTGATTTTTCAAAAACACATTCGGCTCATCAAAATTTACAATATATTCCTAACACTTTCCATTCTCCAAATAAGGTCAACCGCCTCGCTAAGAAAGGTGCCTTAGGCTAGCCACTACGCTCCGAGTGGTGCTTCCCTTATTTCTCCAGTGTGATTCGATCGATTGATCATTATTTTTTTTCTTACAACTATATATTGATGTTTTGGATGATGATGATAATAATGATAATGATGATAATAATAACAATAATTTTTTTTTGATGTCAACCACACATGGTGGTCCGGGTCTTTCTCTGTCCGTTTAACGGTCCAAGTCCACCCGGTTTGCTTCGAGAGGCACAGAAGCTGGCCCAAAGGGGATCGTCACTTGTGGGAATCGAACCTGGGTTATCCCAAAATTCTCCCCTACAAAAAGAGCTCATTTGCCATTTGAGCTACCCTATTGGGTTATAATAATAACAATAATAATGACAATGATAATGATAATGATAATGACAATGACAATGACAATGACAATGACAATGATAATGATAATAATGATAATAGTAATAATAATAATAATAATAATAATAATAATAATAATAATAATAATAATAATAATAATAATAATAATAATAATAATAATAATAATAATGCGGCTTTGGCTTTTTTTTTTTTATTACTTTTTTCTCTGTTGTGCCTTTCCCTTCCCTCTCTTTTCTTTTCTTCTTTTTTTTTTTTTTTTTTCCTTATTATTTCTAATTATTTTTCTTTTTCTTCTAGATTTTTTTTCCTGTAAACATCAATCCAGAGATTCCAAACCCAAAGTATACTAACCATGATAGCACTTACAACAACAACCATCCAAGAAACCCAACAAACACCCTTAGGAATGGCAGCCTCAACAGCTCCACCAACCAATGCCCTTTGCAGCCTCCGGCAAGTCCACTTTCCTGTACCTAGCCAGACTCCATATGTTCTGGCAAGGGCTAGTAATCTCTGCAAGAAAAAGGAGCCTAAGGAGGGCAGTTACTCCCTGGCGAAACGACACATCAAGAACACGTAGAGAGCAGCCATGTGGTTGGCTATTAAGAGGTCATTACAAAGGTAGAATTCCATTTGGTTTTGGAAAAAAAGGGGAGATTTCCAGAGCCCTGAAGCATTGAACTTATGGCTAAGATAACTGCAGGGGTGCCATGAGCCAGGGACGTGAGGCAACTTGAAGCCAAGGACATAACGAGTGTATAGAAAAAATATATGAAATATGGAAAGAATTTTGAGAGAATAAATACTGTACATATTGTTGAATATTGCTTGTGAGTAGTAAAGATTGTTTCTCTCCCCATGGATTATATTTATACATATTTTGGGTTAGGATTAGGAGCCCTATAGTGTTAAACTGTGTCCTTGTTAGATTATGACTAACAAGTCTAATCCTTATTACATTATGAATATTACTAAGTTTAATCTTTATTAAACTCCTAAGTTGCTTCATACTAGGTATCCTCTTTGTGCTTTCTTGATCCATGCAAGTTTCTTTCACTTTCAAAATGTGGATCATATTACTAAATTTACAACTATTCACTATTCACTCTCCATCCATGCGAATCACTCTCATCTTCTAAAAGTGGTCTCACTTTTATATCAATTTATACAAAATTATTACGGAGTATCTTTTATCAATAAAGTAATAATAATATTAATATAATAATAATAATTAAAAGAGAAAAAAAGGACTTGAAAATCTGTTGCAGCCGAATTACAATACATGGCATTTAATGTCTTTTTACAAAAAAAAAAAAAAAAAAAAAAAAATTACTGTGGATTTAAAGCAGCAAAATTTCAAGGCTGCGAATGGCGTAATGCTGGTTTTTTTTTTTTTTTTTTTTTTTTTTTTTTTTTTTTGAGAACTTCAAAATAATGTTTTCTCTCTTTCTCTCTCAAAATCTTTTCTTACAGAAAACTCTGACAACACTTCCAAAAGTTTGAAGTGCTCTCCTTGTGCTTTAAAATCGTTAGACTATTATAAGTATACTAATCATAGGTATTTTGGTTATAGAAAATAAGGGAATATAGATATATATATGTCATATGTGAGTATTCTTGTGCATACACACTCACTCATGGTCGGTCCTATTATTTTATAAGCCTGGGGCATGACAAAAGAAAGAGGCCTTACCGGATGTTAATATATATTTCTTACGTAAATAAATTTAAATTACATAAAGGAAAGAAAACTAATATAAAATAACATGAAATAATATTATATTAACAAGTTATTAGCAATTTTACATGCACAATAACACACTAATAATCATGAAAATATTTCTAGGTACTTTTACAAAGAAATAATTTATAAAAATGAATAAACAATTTAAAACTCAAATAAGCTTATAAACAATAACATATATTACCTTATAATAAACTAATAAAGTCAATAGTACTAAAAAAAATTATAAACAATAACATTTTTATTATAATAAATAAATAAATAATTATTATTATTAGAAATTTATAAAACTGTTATAAATATTTTATTAGTGGCCATTAAACCATTAGACCTTTCAATAGCCTAGCCTTTAATCATGTATTGATGTTGAGTATGTGAAAGGTTGTATGAAACCTTATATAATGAAGTGAAGGCTAATGAAATGACACACATATTGTTGTGCCCTACATTTGGTGTTCTTCTTCTTCTTCTTCTTTTTCTCTTCTTTACGTATACACGCATACATATATATGAACCTCCGGGCGAGTTACCGTGCAAACATCACGTGAGAACAGAGCTAGTTGATAGGTCAAATTATAACACGTTATCAGCACGAGTCTCTATCGTAATCTCCGGTGAACGGTACTATTGGTTCATTTTTCCTATGAATTTTTGTTTTTGAATCATATGCCATTGTTTATATATAAATATTATGTGTATATATGGCTATGAGTTTGGTTTGGAACCTTCAATTATTGTTTCTATGAAATGAGTGATAATTCTTCATATTTGTTAACAACTTTTGAGTTATGAACTCATCATCAAGACATGGTTAAGAATTTTGGTAAATACTTGAAATTGTAAATACATATTATTTTTATTTATTCTCTCAATTCATGTATATGAGTTAGGTTCTACATATGCCATGATGCTTTGAAATGGTAAATACATGTGGTTATATGTTAAATTGTATGTATGTACGTGCAAATGTAAATGTGTTCATCTGTATATATATATGGGTTAAATATACACGTGTTTGATATTTACCAGTGAAACAATGATTCTTGCACTATTTCCCATTATTGGAATTTACTATATTCACTTAAAATGACTTCATGCCTTAGGAAAAGATAATATTTACTATATTGATCATGTAGATTGATTATGTACTATTCCCCATTTTTGACATTTATGCTTCTTTTGAAAAATATATATATAATGACTACATGGAGAATTATGAATCTATATGAGAACATGTGAAATATTCCATTTTCACATTCTATTTGAAATTTGCTTACAAGACATGTTTTTCACATGAATATCAACTACTGTTTCTATAAGTATAAGTTGCATCAAATGATGATCTTATGGATCATGCCTTTCATTAAAAATGTAAATTTATTGAGCTCACTTATGAATGAAGCAATTATTTAGCTTGAGCTCTTGATATTGAAATATATTCGACATCTAAAGAATTGAGTCAAGTTTTTTGTTGCTAAGTCATAGAGCACCGATGCCTAAAAGCACAAGCTGTCATTTTCATACGTCACCACTTGAACCACAACCTTAAAAAAATGAGTGTCTGATTGAAAAAGAACCCCTTGAAATAATGGAAGTCCCTGAAGGACTATTCCGACCAGAAGTCATCAAATGTTCTTCCTTAGACACATTTTGACTAGTTTAATCTCATGTTTAATTTTGAGATTATAATGTAAGTCAGTGATTAATTACAATTCAGCTATGCACAAAATAGTCTCGTAAGTGAAACTCTAAACAAGAAGTTTCAGAGAAATATTTAATTGGAAAGACATTGCCAACTTTTCATGAGCGTAATTTGTACTCCAGCAGTAGTACAAGACAACAAATTATGAGAAGCATCCTAAGCTGATTTTAGCACCCCTTGTGGCTAAGAAACATAACTAGTTGTTGATGAAGAATCAAAATGCATGTCTGGTCGATTTTTGCATAGGTGCTTGAAGCACATAATGTTACCCAGTTGAGCAACTTTATAAGGGGTTGCGGTCGAAATTATAATCAGTGTGGTATGAGTTTCGAGCTCAGAATAAGAAAGAAAGTGATCAAGATATTCAAGGACGACCAAACTCATCGAGGCAAAATCCTAGCCCGAAGCAGGTTTGCTAACAATGTGGGTTTGAAGGGCATTGATCCCTACGTGCCGCACACCAAAGCATTTGGTCGTCGAAGAATGTACCTCATCTTGATGATTTTTAGGTAATTTTCCTGAAGCAAATACTGTGATAAATGATGATAATGAAATGATGAGGTATTGATGAAGAAATGATTGGTGTCATGATAATGTTTGAGTAATTCATGAAAATATATTCATGGATAAAAAGGTTAGCTAGCTCATGCCTGAAGCATGAAGCATCCGAGAAGTTAACTTATGCCTGAAGCACCCGAAAAGTTAATTCATTGCCGCAATAACTTATTGTGTAACCGAGTAGTATATACACTCCAAATGTGTTTTTGAGTGCAAAGTTATTTTTTTTTTGGAGGCAAATTATTATGAGTGCAAAGTGGCTTTACTTTGCTGATTTTTCTTGGTGTTTTTACTACTCGAATTGACTATTCAAAAAGTTTACCTCTCTAAGCTTACATCTCTTAGCTTACCTCTGTAATCTTACTTCTCGATTTACTTCTTGAATTTTTACTTTCTGGAACTTTATTTTTCAGAGGAAGTTTACTTCTCAGAATTAATTCTATTAGTTTGCATGCTTATTTATGGAATTTTTTCTCATGCATGCAACATGACTCTCATATGAAATTGACTGGTTGCTAATTCAAGATTGAATTATTGTCAATCCCGGAAGGATTGCTATTATCAACAAATTATGAGAATCTTCTTTTGACTAAATTTATGATGTCAACATGACTAAATTCTCTCAGAATATGACTTAGTGCAATTCTGTGTTGTTTAGGGATTTGTATACTCCTTTATAAAAATGATCTTTGACTTATTGTCATACATGATATGATTGATTTAGATGTTATTGGTTTGGAAGATAGAAATGAATTATATCATATCAATTTGCCTGAAGCAAACGAAGGAATAAATTATTTCATATTAGTTTGCCTGAAGCAAATGAGGGAGTGAATTATATCATGTGAATTTGCACGAAACAATTCCCAAACCAGTGAGTGACCTAATGTAAAGTTCAGGATAAGGATTTTTAGAAGATCTTGAAGATCTATTTTATTTGACAAGCTTCGTAGCTTCCCTATGATTGTTGTGTACCCTTAGCTTGTAATATCATTTGATATGTATGCTTTCATATATGATTATATATTTTCTTGTTGGGGACATCAGTTTTATATGCTATTGTGGTTATCACAATCTCACCTACTGCATATCATAATTATTCACCCTAGAACCTAGTACGTGGTATAAAACCAAACATTTCCCATCTGCGTTTTATTCACAGTGTGCAATCTTTTTCCTATATCACCACCATAGCGTACCTTTGTGGGCATGTATATATTGATTATAAACCTCCGTCTGTTATTTAAATTCTTAGAGCCCATGATAAGGGATCAATATATAATTAGGTACGCTGATTGCACACTTTATGAAGATCATTTCACGGCATTAGGGGGAGATAAGAGCTCAAATTTAATAGAATGCCGAGAAATTCTATGGATGATTGATGAAAAAGATCTTCAATATTTAAATCCACGTACTAGGTAGACTGAACTAGAAGTTCAGAAGAAGTAAACTGAACTTGAAGTTCAGAAGATAATTAATCTGTCAATATATATATATATATATATATATATATATATATATATATATATATATATATATTGATCATAAAAAGAGTGACTAGGTCCTACATATTTTCCCCAACTTGGACCATATGTATCTACCAATGCTCCTTGACGCCAGAAGCGTGGAGACATGTTGGTATAATCCGCGGAAAGCTAAATCTAGTAGAAAATGGTGTCACTCTTGAAATCGCTTAAAGAAGTATGTCCTAAAGACATTCTTCCAGA